GTGGAATTGTTATTTTTTTTTCTTAATCTTTTTTTTATCACCCTATCATGTATACGACGGACAAACAGAAAAAAGTTCTTTTTGGGTTTTATTTTTCGCGAAGTCACGACTTGACTTTCTCAAGTCTTACGATTGGCGTCTGTTGTCTATTCTCATGGATTATCTTTCTTGGTTTTCGATCGACTCTTGGTTGCGGTTTTCCCGGATGAGCCCAAGGAGAGAACGAGGAGATGAAGTGTGGCAGGGAGAGGATATGTTGGAAGCTGAGGGGAATTAGATTCGGGGACCGTTGCAACGGGAGAGAAAGAGGACTCCCAGATGGGAGGAGTCCTGAGAGTATTTCGAGAATTCAAAAAAAGAAATATCTCAATCATCCTGTTCTTGTAGTATATAGATGGGGTGTGTTCAGTGCTTAGTAGCAGTCTAAACCCGTGACCTTAACCACCCCAAGTCTCCCTTCACGTCTATTGTTCACTCTACACTTTCCCACATTTTTCATCTTCACTTAACCATCTCCAATTGATCCAATCAAGATGCCAGGCTCGGTGGGAAGTGATGAATTCGACGATGATGAGGTACAGTGTCACTTACCCCCATGCCCACGTCCCAGAACTGCCAATCTAACCAGTAAATAATCTACCAATATAGAACTTCATTCTGGACATTGACGGTATCCAAGCCCACGGCATTGGTGCAGCCGACATCACTAAGCTAAAGGCCAATGGATTCTACACCGTTGCTGTCAGTGCCTTTGCCCTAACCCTCTTGTCTTCAAGCATAGCCAAAGCCCATGCCATCCAACAAACCTAACCACTTATCCAGTCCGTCCACGGCGCCACCCGCAAAACCCTCCTAAAAATCAAAGGATTTAGCGAGGTCAAAGTCGAAAAAGTCAAGGAAGCAATCCAGAAATGCCTCCCAGCGGCCTCGGGTTTCATCTCAGCAATGGAACTCCACCACCAGCGCAAGAAAGTCGTCCGTATCTCAACTGGCAGCAAACAATTCGACTCAATCCTCAACGGGTGAGTACAGTACCTCCCACCACCAGCCCCTATTCAAAGCCGCAGTCAAGCCCCATCTAAATCCGTACCAGTGGCTTCCAAAGCATGAGCATCAGCGAAGTCTTCGGAGAGTTTCGCTGCGGCAAAACACAACTCTCGCACACGATGTCCGTAGTCGCTCAACTACCCAGAGAATCCGGCGGAGCAGCTGGTAGAGTCGCCTATATCGACACAGAGGGCACATTCCGACCTGAGCGCATTGCTCAAATCGCCGAACGATTCGGGATCGACCCAGATACGGCGCAGGAGAATATTTCCTATGCGCGCGCGCTGAACAGCGAGCACCAGCTCGAGCTGCTGAATACCCTTTCTCAGGCATTTGCCGGTGGCGAGTATCGGTTGCTTGTCATTGATAGTATCATGAACTGTTTTCGGGTTGATTATTGTGGGCGTGGGGAGTTGGCGGATCGGCAGCAGAAGTTGAATCAGTTTTTGATGAAGCTGGCGCATATGGCGGAAGGTGAGATTCTATACATAGGTTTCTACACTTTTGCGGGTTTCACTGTGGGCTAATTTGGTTTGACTTGCAGAATTCAATGTTTGTGTCTTGATGGTGAGTGCGATCTTATGTGTTTCGAGGTGAAGTGGCTCACACTTCGTGGTAGACAAACCAGGTCCAGAGTGACCCTGGTGCTAGTTCTCTCTTTGCTGGAGCTGATGGTCGCAAGCCCGTTGGTGGACATGTTCTTGCTCACGCTTCCACTACTCGTGTGCTCCTGAGGAAGGGTCGTGGTGATGAGAGAGTTGCGAAGATTCAAGATTCTCCTGGTGAGTACTTCGATATATTCCGGATTTTATCATTCTTCTAACATCTGTAAAGACTGCGCTGAGCGTGAAGCAATCTATATCATTACCAATGGCGGGATCAATGACCCTGACAAGGCTTGAAGATGATGTGGTCGAGACAATATTTCGATGTTGAGGGAAGTGCTCTGAGGTCACGAATTCCATGATGTATTCGGTTTGAAGCTGCGATTATCTTAAACCATTAATCAATTTCAATAATAAATAATATGTTAAAATGCCAAAGAATTCAAGTTGTGTTCATGTCGATGTCATCGAAGCCCTACCTAGCAAGCTCACCGCCCGCACCGCCGCTCTGACACCCCGGCAAAATTCTGTGCCTAGAGCAAATCTGCAGAAAAAGTTCAGCCCAATCAACGCAACAATCCAGCAATCAAACCTCCATTCAAAATGAAAATTGAATCCGTGCAGGTAGAAGGGTACACTACCCTACCCGTGCAGCTCCCATCAACACCCCTCTTCCTCAAACCCGCAACACACTACCTCTACCTCCGACCACACGAGCCCCGAATCCCAGACCCAGATTCCACCCGCTCCCTCTTCATCGTCAACGTTCCAATCGACACAACAGAAGCCCACCTCCGTTACTTCTTCGGCACGCAACTCGCCGCAGGCCGCGTAGAAAAAGTCCAATTCGAAGATGTGCAGACCAAAAAGCGCGCAGCGGCAACAACCACAGAAACCAACCTAACCCAATCCAAAAGGAAGCGCAAGCGCGTAACCGCCGATGACTTCGAACGCCACCTAGAAGACGTTACCCTTCCCTCAACCTGGGACCGCAAATTGCAAAAGAGCGGCGCCCACGCAGTCGTCATCTTCGCCGACAAGCCCAGCATGGAATCCAGCCTGAAAGCCGCCGCCAAGGCCGCCAAGCGCGGCACCACCATCGTCTGGGGTGAGGGCCTGCCCACAGACCGTCTTCCGGTCCTCGGACTGAACCGGTATGTCGCGCACGAACGCATGCAGTATCCCGATCGGGGCACGTTGCTTCGGGCGGTGAATGAGTTCATGACTACGTTCACACAGGTATCTGAGGCGCGCAAGCGCGAGGATCACAAGCGTCTTGCTGTGCCGGACGAGGATGGATTCGTTACTGTTTCGCATGGACCGAAGTTGAATTCTGTGGCGAGGGAGGAGGAGATGAGGGAGCTCGTTGAGAAGCAGAAAAAGAAGAATGAGGGACTTGAGGACTTTTATCGGTTCCAATCTAGGGAGAAAAGGAAGGAGAGGCAGAATCAGTTGCTTAGGCGCTTTGATGAGGATAAGAAGAAGTTGGCGGAGATTAAGGCTCGGAAGGGAAAGATTCGGGTAGGTTTTCTTTTTTCTCTCATTTGTTCGGTTGGTTTTTGAGAGTGGTGATACTGACTTTTATTATAGCCTGAGTGATCTGGTGCATGGTAGCATGGCGTTCTGGGTGTCTTTTTTCGATGACGGGATAAAAGGTTCGAGGTGGTCTACGTTCATGTGAGTGTTGCTATTGCTTTTGCTTTTGCTTTTCGTTATAATCGCTCCGAGGATGAACACGCTGGGGCCATAGTAGCGAAACGCGCTTTGCCCGCTGTTATGCTATGACTGCAAACACCAGCTTATCTATATCTTCTCGCCTTCTGACCTGGAGTTTATGTCTTGTTGGGATTGATGGTTCTTCTTGGTGTGGCATCTGCTGATTGTGGATCAAAATAGGTCGGATACAATTAAGTTGTCTCAGAGATCGAGATTTTAGAATCTAACTATGTATACATACATGTAGTTCAAATTGTCCATACTGTCCATAGCCAACCCGTAGATGTCTTAATTCCGGCTCCGCACAGACCAGCGCTTGGCGTTACATCCCACCTCTGGAGAAACAGTGCGTCTTCTATGGATGGGATTGATAGCTCTGCCAAAGTATCGAACAGTTTGAAAAATATCAGAGACTAACGGCTACAATCGAATGTATCATGTGATACTACTCTCGGCTACATCGCATTCTCCAGGCACGACCTCAAGCAAAAGCTTCACAAGATATATCCAGCGAAAACAGCCCTACCTCACCGGCACACAGCACCTCTTTGAGGATTTCTCAACCATCTTTTTTTTTATCAACCCCTTATCAGAACCGAGTGTGTTGATCATTGGACCCAACCTATTCGATCTATACCAAAAGAAAACAAAGCAACCCCCAAAATGTCCCCTGCCTCAACCCGAAACGAGCAAGACACCGACTCGGACTCTGACGTCGAGTTCGAAGATGTCCCGATCTCCCTCTTGAACCGGTCCAGAAACAGGGAAAACACCGAAATTCCGATCACCATCCACTCAACCCCACCACCACGATGGACTCCAACTCTATTACTTCCACAGCAGCGAAGCCACCCTCTCCCTTCTGGCTCCGAGGAAGAAACTCAACTCCGAGGCCAAATCAGCAACCGAATCGAAAGAGTCACGTACCGCAAAATGAAATCTGACATTGGTATGGATGCACCGAATACACCTGCTTCAGAACGTAGGTATGATGGCTTCAAAGGACTTGCTACAGATGTGGAGGGTCTTGTTGATACGCTTTGGGCGTCGGCAACCCGTGAGTTTTGTATTTCAATTATTTCAAATATACATCATGCTGTAGAAGTGAAGTTGACATTGTTTCACAAGATGTTCCTTTCTTTGTCATCTTTTCTACCCCCTTCGTTTTCTCTCCCACATGTATATCTACATGTACATCATTTACATGTACCTCTTCCATTCTAACCCATTTATCCAGCGACGATCCAAACCGAAGCCCTCATAACCCTCGCAGGCCTAACCCAAACCTCCCTTGCAGCCTTCCCCTTCGATGCCCCACCAACCCTAAACATTCTCCACAAGCTCGACTCCATCTTCGCAGCACTGTGTACAGGCATCCACCCACTCACCGGCGCTGTTCTCCCCGGCGCACAGCCGGGCCAGTCTCTCGTGACGGAGACGCAGAAAGTGCGGATTCGGAGTTTGGCGGAGAGGACTCGAAGTCAACTCTTTTCTTGTTTGGCCAATTCTAGTAAGAGAGGTATTGCTGCAACTGTTAATGCTTATGGTTATGGATCTGGGCATGTGGATGTGGATGACGACGAGGATAGTGGCGACGAGGTCGATGATCCATGGCTGTTGGAGGCCACGCGGGTTTATGAGAAGAGTCTTATGCTACTTGCAGAGCAAGATCCTGAGGTGGAGGCAGGGGATGAATTGAATTTGTAATACTTGTATTCTATTCGGTTGCCTGATCTACGGAGTATATATTTTGTCTCAGCTCCAAGTGAAATAAATCGATGAAGAGTATTTTAAGAACGAGCCTCTTGCAATTACGTCGGTGTACAATCCTCTACAAGACAGACGCTCAGGCCACACACAAAATTATGACATAGCTGAGAAAGTCCCACTCCAATTTGACATGGTGCCCAGTATCCGTAGAAATTTTCTTTACTCCGTATGTTGGACTGACATCGGATCCAGAAGATTTTTTTTTTCTTTCTAGAAACTTCTAGCTCACGAAAGAAAAAAAAACATTCTTGACTGAAAAGGCCAAAAAAAAACCAAGAGCCGGTGGGGTCCAGGCAAAAAAAAAAAAATAAGAGGTTCATTTTATTCACTCGCATACAAATGCCGACTTTGAATCGGGTAATCAAGTAATGGAGTATACAGTAAGCGTTCCCGTACCTTGAATTCAGGTATCGGTCACAGACAAGGCTGGTATTTTCTTTGGCTAGAATGGAGTGAACTAAGTGGATGTGAGCCCTGAAAGTGGGGGCCATTGGGGCCAGCTAGTGGCCTGGGGCTGCGCAGCTCGGGGACTGCAATGGCCAGTAGGATGTCCGAGGGGCTCTCAATTAGATGTACGATAAACTTTTTTACATCGTAAACTTGATTGTGCTTTGACTGGAACTTTTTTTTTTAAATGTGAAATTGAATAAGATGGTAACCGTGTTATGAGGGGAATATCCATCTGCGCTTTGGATGGTATTTCCGGTGGAAATGAGTTCTTTCATTTCCATGGTTCGTGTGGGTGTAACTTGGGAATATGAGTTGGTACTCCTCCAGGTGCATTTGAGCTATAGAATGAGTCACGTTCATAGTCCATTTAGGTTACAATATTTAGGGCTACTCTACCTTCTTCACTCCAAGGAAATCTATACAAGGCTCCCAGTCTGCCGTGTCTAACCATGCAAGGGTTGGATTAGCTTCCATAGAGCAGAGGGGTTAGATCTGAAACCTAACGTCCCACCGTTGGTAAATATCCCTTGCACACAACCCCTTCCAGACGGATAAAATGGACAATTTACAATTTACAAAAGTATATGATAGGAAACAGATTGCTGCGATATAGTTCTGGGTGACTGTTCAAAACGCGCCGCGTACCGAGCCAAGTGAAATAAACCAACAACTTGAAATGAAAATCTCTGCTGGTAAAGCAGTAATTCCAATACGAGCGGGCCCCTAAGTCCGGCCAATCAGAACATGACTCTGCATGAGATGCCTTCCATGGTTCTGATGGAGACTTTCTTTTTTTTTTTTCTCTTTGACGTCTTCCAAGGGTTTTTTTTCCCTGGTCCTATTCTTTCATAACCGGACGTGCGCGGCTGACGTATTTTGAAATACGAAGAGTGGTTGACCAGTTTGAAAAGTCCTTACTTGCGGCTTAGGGCATAGGTCATGGATTAGAGAACCTTGCTTTGAGAAGAGAGCTCGCTATGCTGTCTACCTTCAGCTTCAGGGCTGCGCCTAGACAAGGACCCGAGTATCTGGGGTGACCTGTATTGAAATGATATTACCGTATGGGCTTTCATGGTTTGGTGGCGTCCGGTCTCCAAGGGTTGTCTTGCTTAATTTTTTTTTTTAGACGGACTGTGGACTACTCCGTACATACAATTACTATGCATGGCCCTAGTTTCATATATATAACATGAGATATCAGATTCATCAACTGCCTGTGAATAGGTACCCAACAAGTACCTAATCCTGCTCCGCTTACTCCGTAATCCGTACTTACTCAACAGTGACCTCGGGAGAGGCCCACACAGACCTATTCGGTTGACAAGTCACATTGCGCGGACAGCGACAGGTCCTTGCAGATTTCATGCATTGGGGCTTCCTGCCCCTTGTTCTTCTGTCTTTCACCGAGATTTGATCAGAATTTGTTTACGTCGTTTTCTTTTCTTTTCTTTTTTGGTTTCTCCTACATGTTTGCTGTGTCTAAACATATGGAAAGGCGGAATAACCGACTCCAAAAAGGCTAGGGTTGATCATCGGCAAAGAAATTTCCAAAGTTGGATGTAAATCTCGGGTCAGAGGCCATGATGTATCATCCTCAATTCTACCGGCCTCCCGGGATCCTGGAACGATGAAGAATCTAGCAAGCCCCCACATGACTGATATCATGCAGCGTTGACAGGAATCTGGGGACAGCTTGGGTAGTCATATAAGTTAAGTGTACTCCGTGGTCTTTATCTTGGAGGTGTTTGGCCTCCGGCCCCAAAAGGAAGTTCTGATCGGCAGAGGCAAGGCACCCTATACTACGGGTTCAAAAATGTGCGACCAGTTGATAGATGTCATACTATTGATACCGTATACTGATATATGAAACGTACCGAGCACATGTGTACATACACAACGAGGTTTGATGTCTTATTCTACGGTAGTATAGCATTACTAGTCACATTGTATGTTAATGACTACATACTTCAACTCTGGAACGGAACATACCTTACCCTGTAATACACATACCATACAAAGACTCACGTAATGCGTTTCCCACTTCCCCTCTCTCTTCATCTCGCGAGATTTCCAATTCTTCATTTTCTTCTTTTCCCCTCTTACCTTCCCCTCCCTTTTCTTATTGTTCGAAGATCTCGGTTTCAATTTTCTGTTTAGTTATCGGGAGTTCTGCTTTTCCTCCCTTGTTGCCGATTACTCTTTTTTTGCCTCGCGCATTTCCAGTGTTTTCCCAGGTTTTCCTCAAATCATCTAGGTAAGTTGGTTTGTCTTATTCTGTCGCATATCGCATCTTGTCTTTTTGAATACAACCCAAATTTTGCCTCCCCCATATCTATATCGTCTGGCGCAGATTAGCCCTAGATCGCAAGCTTCTTTGCATGGTTCTCCACCCTTCTAGTATGGTGATTCGCCTACGCTTCGAACGCCCTCGCCTTGACTAGCGCTTTCGGGATAGCCAATTATCTACCGATCGCACGCACCCCAACCTCGAAAACTTCGTCAATGTGAGGGAACGGTCAGATCTGGATGTCTGAATTACCCTAGAATTGTGCTGGAATTGAGAGGGTGGACGGTCGCATTCGGACATCAAACCGGGACGACGAAAACGGTCGACGTATGATGATCGCCTAGCATCCGAGTGGGAACAAGTTCTATATTCGTCTCCCGTATCCGATTGTCGCCCTTGGATTGTTCGTCTTCGGCCAATCCACCCTCTAAAGCATGAGTTGCCATCTCATTGAAATGAGATGCTGCCTAAAGCGCTGGTCTTGGCGAGTTCCGTCACCACTTTTTGAGGCTCGAAGTCATTTATGCGCCTGAAGAACCCGTCTGGCAAAATGCTGACTACCCACTTTTTTTTTTCTTCCGCATCGTTTCATTCACCTACCTTGATTGATCCGTCTCACTTCTCACTTCTCATTCCCAGCTCTTTACTTGCGCCTGTGCAGATCTTATAATTTTAATGAAAATTGATCACATCTAACTTCTAACTGCAGCCTTTTTACGCCCGTCTTTGCTTGGCTTCGTTACGATTTGATCTCACGCCGGTCTTTCTTTAACGACTCCACGAAGTTCTAGTCGCTCAGCCATCTTATATTCTTACATCGACCTTTTCGGACTTTGATTATTGCAACCATGTCTTACAACGGCTACGAAAACTTCCCTCAGCAGGACCCCGCCGCCGCTGGCGCTCCAGCTCCTGTTGATACCACCATGACCGGCCAGGCTGATCCCTCCGCCGCTCAGTTCCAGGGCCCCCCTCCTGGTGAGCCCAACTCCGCGCCCGTCCCCCAGCAGGGCGCTGATGGCAAGACCACCCTCTGGATGGGTGAGCTCGAGCCCTGGATTGACGAGAACTTCATCCGCAACCTCTGGTTCCAGATGGGTGAGCAGGTCAACGTCAAGATGATCCGTGACAAGTTCTCTGGGTAAGACACTACAGTGATCATATGAATTACCAAGAGTGTTTCTAATGTGGGTAGTAGGAGCAATGCTGGATACTGCTTCGTCGACTTCGCTTCCCCTGCCGCCGCTGCCAAGGCCCTTTCTCTGAACGGAACCCCCATGCCCAACACCAACCGGGTCTTTAAGCTCAACTGGGCTACCGGTGGCGGCCTTGCTGATCGCAGGTTAGTGATAATCTCATTCGTTCGGCTTCCTCCCGGCCCTAAAACTGACCCCCTTCCCAGCCGTGATGACCGTGGCCCCGAGTACTCCATCTTCGTTGGTGACCTCGGCCCCGAGGTGAACGAATACGTCCTCGTATCCCTCTTCCAGAGCCGCTTCCCCTCTTGCAAGTCTGCCAAGATCATGACCGACCCCATCAGCGGCATGTCTCGTGGCTACGGGTTCGTTCGCTTCTCCGATGAGAACGACCAGCAGCGTGCTCTCACTGAGATGCAGGGTGTCTACTGTGGCAATCGCCCTATGCGCATCTCCACCGCTACCCCCAAGAACAAGGGTCCCGGTGTTGGTGGTAACGGTGGTGCTGCCATGGGCATGCCCGGTCCCGCCGGCATGTACCCTCCCATGGGTGGCCCGCCGATGCCCTTCTATGGTGCTCCCCAGCCCATGAACCAGTTCACTGATCCCAACAACACTACCGTTTTCGTCGGTGGTCTGTCCGGCTACGTCACCGAGGATGAGCTTCGCTCTTTCTTCCAGGGCTTCGGAGAAATCACCTACGTTAAGATTCCCCCTGGAAAGGGCTGTGGCTTCGTCCAGTTCGTCCAGCGCCACGCCGCTGAGATGGCCATCAACCAGATGCAGGGTTACCCCATTGGCAACTCCCGTGTTCGTCTGAGCTGGGGCCGCTCCCAGAACAACTCCGGCCCCGCCGGCAGCCCCTACCGCCCTGCTCCCCCGCCGCCTCCCATGTACCCCTCCATGGGCATGCCCCCGGCCCACCAGTATGGCGGGTTTGCCCCCATGAAGGTGAGCGATCACCCTGGCAGCCCGATCCCGGATCAAATGTGAAGCAGGCGGTCGGCTGACACACTCTTCCAGTAAGCGTTTCCCTTTGATTGAAAGCACCAGCAGGAGTTATTTGTGTCATTCCAATGATGATTCTATTGTGTAACAAATTCGTTCCCTGGTTTCTTGGCCAAGGCTATAGCTCTTGATGAGCATTTGTCTCCTGTGCTACGCATTTCCTTTTTACGTGAGCGCTATTACCTTAGCAAGATCTGAGCTTTATCCCCTTTCTGATCTGTCTTGTTCTTATGTATCTTTTCCTTTCTTCCCCCGTCTTCCTCCCACACACCTCCTTCGCGCCCTTTTCGTATTTTATTATTTTTCTTTACCTTATTTTCGATGTCTCTCTGCCCTTATGATAACGGGGTTTCCCGCCACTGGGCCTTTGTCTGTGTGTAATGGAAGTCCGAATTGTCTTGCGCTTCTTTTTCCTTTATACTCCTTGGGCAGGCATTCTGCGAAAAGTTCCATTTCCCCCCACCGTTTACCATCTTGTTTCCTTTGTTCTTTTTTTTTCTTTTTTTTTCTTCTCTTCAAGCAGCTAAATTGAACCATGTTCGCTTTGAGAATCTTTGCGTTGTGCCTCTTAAATCCTTGTTTCTTCTTCGTTTAGACTGATTGCCGGCCTGTACAACACGCTTTCTTTCGTGCGCCTCAGCGTTTGTCGATTCTAAATTCCTTTGATCGTATGCAATAATGTCCTGTCCGCTTGTTTGGTGTATGCCTTACATTATCAGGCTCTCTCTTCCTGATATTGTATTGTCAGCCCTTTGCTTCTGGATCGACCTATATCAACGTTGCACCTATGGCTGGTCCGATAGGTGGAGGGTTCGGTGGACTTGAGCATACCTGGGTGCTCTGGTAGTTGGTCCCCGGTGGTTGTCTCGCTGTCTGCTGTCTGCTCTCTGCTCTCTGCTCTCTTGAGAGTCTACCATGTTAGGGCTAAGATTTGAGCTGGTCAGATTTTGAGACAGAATCCTTCTAAACTTCATGTATCTAGCTGTGGTTTCCATTTTTTCTAATGCCTGGTGTTCGTATGTGATTGCGGTCTTAGGGCTAGCATTTACCGCATGAGTATTCCTAATCAGACCATAACCGTGCCAAGCGCCCAACCACCCATCCTGGGTAGTTGGTGCGCCCCACCAAACGCAAAATTCCCACCAAACGCAAAATTTTCAATTTACTATCACTTTTGTACCTATTTTACACCACACCACCACGTCAGACCGAA